GGAAAACTGGGGGGAAATGGTAGCAGGCTCTTCATGGCTCGTAGACCATAGTTCCTTCTTGATTTTGCTGGGGGCAAAATTTATTCATGTTTTTCAAAACTACAAGAGTGCCGGATGGATTGCATTCAGCTCAGTTTCGCTGGGGAATATACAAACGTGTACATATACATGTACACTCTATTCTCAATGTTCACTTTGCTGTGTGGGTCATTGAAACACCAAGGTTTAATCAGTAATGAGTGTCTTCCGACCATTTTGCTCAAATCAACCTAGAGTTGGTTTGATCCGAACAAGAAATGTCTTCATGCCGAACGATTGATTGGAAGTGTGAGCAGAAATTTGGCATCCTGAGGGGTTTCAACATTCTAAGCCTGACATTGGGGAAAAGTTAGAAAAGAAATCATCTGGGGTTGCTGTAAAACTTCAATCAGAGGCGTGGATTTCTCACCCCACTCCCACCCCCCCTAAGAATTTTCGACTTCCGAAATTCAGGATAACTCACGGAAGTTTAATTGTCCAGGTTTTGCTACTTTTTGTACTTGGTACAAAGAAGCAATGACCAGACTGACATAATCCCAGGTGGCATGGGAGAGAACTCATTCCTTTTTAGTGATTTAAAAGCTTTGTAAAGCCGCATTTTTTTATTGCTGCCCTTCTAACACCCCCCCTCCCACTTGGTGTTCCATGAAGTTCTTTTTATCCCTCAATCTGGCCCCTGTTAGAAGCCTGTTACTTGATAATAGTCTCTGGAAAGTAAAGTAAATTGAAAAAAAAACCAAACAACCCCCCCTAAAAAAAACTTACTCAGAACATGCATATTGCTGGTCATAAAATGTAGGTAATAAACGGAGTCAAACATGATGTGGATGGAGGAGGGGTTGAGATTATTTAGATGACAAAACAGTCATTGTGCTTTGGGAGTTCAATCTCTGCTTGCTTCGTCATAAAATGAATCCCTCAGTTTTGTTCATTAAGCATCCCACGTATTCCTCATGCCCTCGTCCTGGCGCTCTCCTTGTGAGGAGAGCTAAACCGATTTTGTAAGGAGTGAGTATACGTATAAAGGAGTGGTGGCAGCTGTTACCCCCTGTCGTGATGGAAAGTTTGAAAGAAGTTATATAATAATGTCTATTTCTTCCCCCTGTATTCAAACTAAGGCCGAGTCCGAAACGGACTTCAAGAGCTACGGCTAGGCCTATTGTCTACGCGTCTCCAGCATTTCCATTGGAGCGAGGACCTAGCCCTAGACAAGAGATTCGGATGCAGCCTAATGAATGAGAAGGTCTGAGCCGATTGCAGTTTTAGCCATTGCTGAAATTAAAATTTCAGCAATGGCTGTGTAGGGCCGTTTGCCAGTACTGAAAGCCCAGTAATTAGTTCAATAGTGCCACAAAACATCAAATAAGATGCAAAAGAGCCAGAAATTACAGTAATCCAATTTAATTTAAATGCTTCAGGCCCACAATTGGGGATTGGTTTTGCGAACGAAGCCTGAGACGGAGCCCAAGTTCGAGTATTGGAAAAGGGTCTAGCTCTCCATAGGGAGAGAACTGTCAGTACAGTGTACAGGCGATAGGAAAGTAAGAAGTTGCCATTGTGTGATTGCATACATTGTGGAGGGCCCAAAACAGGAATAAAACTTACAAAAATGTTAGCGTAAATGTTCATGCTGGTCTTTGTATGTTCATGTGAGTTGAATGGATTCTTCATTACAGACAAAATTTTCAAATGGTTGAAAATTTTCGTGTGTGATTGAATCTTTTAACAATAAAAAGCTTTGGTGTAATTTTTGTTTGAAATTGTCTAATAAATTTAAACAGTTTTCACACTTTCTGGTGGGCTTGGATCTTCTTCCTACATGCTGTTAATGACAAACGGTTCTGCCCCCCCCCCCACCCCTAAAAGAGAATAAAATAACAGTGCAATGATCACTCAATTGTCACACACCCAAAAAGTGTGTCATGAGTCGCACAAAGGGGTGATTCTGTAGAAGGTGCCTTTCCGGTTTTATAATCTGGTTTACAGTTCAGGTTACACAGATGATTTGTTTCTTGTGGCTTAAGTTTTGGTGAATTGTCACAGTGGTTGCTTTTTAGAGGGCTTACTCATGATTTGTTTACCCTGTCATTTATAAGTTTGTATTCAGAGACAGGTTCTTGGACACCTACTAGCTTTTAGCTTTTGTTTGCTGTTTGGCTTGTACAGGATGCAATTCTGTCAGTAAGGTGTGTTTTATGGAAATGCCCAGTAATGCCTGTCTTTGTCTGAGATCCTGAGGCTTTCTAGTCTCTGTGGTATGACTTTGAATCCTGGTTTGCTGAAGTCACTGAAGCAGCGGTCCATGAATTTCTCAAAATGTGGGCTTGATTGCACAACCTACTGGAGGCACTGCTTTCATGTCCGCTAAACTTGAACTGCAAGAATTGCCTATGCTAGCTGGCTTAAAAGCAGGCAGATTCATTTGTCACAGAATTAAAATATGCGTTTGCTAAAGTTGGCATTTATCCAGTACATGTTCTTTCTGACAAAACCCCAAACAGATTCATTTGTCACAGAATTAAAATATGCGTTTGCTAAAGTTGGCATTTATCCAGTACATGTTCTTTCTGACAAAACCCCAAACTGCTTAAGTCTGATATGGAAATAAAATCCACAAACTCTACGACAGTTACCCACCCTAAATGTTTAGCAGTGACTGCTCTAACACAACACAGGCATACAACAATTCTCCCCCATGAAGAAAAACGCAGTCATTTCATTTAACACATCCCACAACCACTCAGTTGAGGAAGCGGGAAACATTTCCTTTCTTCAAGCCACACGTAATCTGACTGTTACCCAAAAAGTGTGCTAAGTTCATAGTTTCAACAGTCCCTTCCCCCAACCTTCCCACCCCCTGCAGGACTTTGGAACAGTCCATTTTGCAGTGACTTGAGGAGCGGAGGCCCAGTCATGCATGGACAGATAGCTATAGCTGCTGCCTATGATCCAACCCTCTACAACGTGAGGCGGAATCTCTCAGTGTGCATGCCTGCCGACTGCTCGGCCGTAACCACACAGGCAAAAACCGTGCCAGCCGAATGTCTGTAAAAGCTGTCAGGGAGAATCTTGTCCAGTCAGTTAGCATGTGGTAATGAGTGCGTGAGCAGTGACTCAGCTTGGTTCTACTTGCGGATTCATCCCAAAGCGCACTTTCTTCATCTGTTTGGTGATGCACATTTCTTTCTTCGGGGGAGCCACCACCAACCTTCTTTTTTTTTCAACAGCTGCATCAGAAGTACTCTTTTGACGTATGGGCAAGTTACCAGTCAGTAGTGAGAATTGCATCAACTTGATCAGGAGTTCTTGTTCTTGTCCTGTGTCGCTCACCGTGGATGTATAAATTCCTCTTCCTTTTATACTGTGGAACAGAGGCAACACATACTCAACAGTTCGGAGTACATCGCTTATATTTCTTATCAAGAGTACTCGCCTATTGTGGAACTATATCCTGTCCTTTGGAGATAAGTTACTTCCACTGTTGGGGTGAGTTTCTGAAATTTGAAGAAAGATCACAAAGCATGATATTCTGTAATTATAAGTTGAAAAAAATCATCCATTGATTATTGCAAATTATAGAATCTTTTTAATTTGAGTTAATCAGAAGTGTATCAAAAGTATGATTGGAACTATCAAAGTTTTTAAATTTAGCTGATAATTAGAAGATCTGAGCTTTTGTGGGTTTGGACCTTCATCTCTTGTGAACAAAACATGATATTCCATCTTAAACTCTGTGTCAATGTTGGTTGTCGTTACATCATCACATTTGTTAGGCATAAAGTCTGAAATGACAGTGAACATTGGATTTGTGAAATGTCAAAAGGGAACCATAATCCCTCTCTGAAGTGTAGCTAATTTGAATGCCACACTTGAGGTGATGTGGAGGCAGGAGAGATGGAATTGGCTCTCCAAATTTGTAAGATCGACACGATGACTTCACTCTCACCCACGTTTCATCGGAATGTTTTCTCCGTCTTGCGTCAAGCAAAATTGCAATTACAGGTTTTCCACGTGGGTGTGTGCATACATATGCACTTAGGTATGCACTTGGTATAAAAAATGGCAAACGGTTGTGGTGGTTCTGACAAGAACTGGTGAGTGAGAACTCGACTTCTCAGCTGGGATACTCCAACCAGAGCAGTGTGGTCAAAACATGGAGTTCACACTCACCGGTTCTTCTCTGAACCACCACCTAACCACTCTCAGAGAAGAGATGAAATCCCACACTGTGTTACCCGCAAACCTAGAATTCTCTCAGTCTAGCTTCCACCATGCAGAGTTTCAAATCTTACAGAACAGTTTTATTTTGGGGGGCACGAGGTTTGCTTTATAAGTTTCTCGTCCATTGATAATTGTGCCGTTGAAAGTGATTTATTGAAAATGGTTCTACAGTAGCATCACACGATACAGAGTTTATATCGAAATCCTATTTCAATGGTTGAAGTGCTACATACATATAGTACTGGGGCATTAGCCCATTATGGGTAAGCTTCTCTGGGCTGACAGTGATTTGTGAATTGTGATCCCGTCTTTTGTGAACCCTAAATCTCTCTCTCTCTGATACATTTTGGCTTCAATCACTCAGAGATCAGAGAATAGGGCGTTGTGATCTTGTGGTTTTTGGTGTTTAGAGCTCAACACTATAACCGAACAATTGCATGTCGCTAAACACTTTCACAGTGTATACACTCTGTGATACATATGCTGCAAAGCACAGCATGCGGAAGCAAAGACTTGGTGCATAACCGTTTTAACTAGTCCCTCATTCAAGCACAAGGAAGTTAGTACTTGCACCTGTACCTCGCCCAGTATACAGGCTGTCTGAATAAAAAGGGCAACATCGCGATCAGCTGTGTCAAATTTGGAAGATATTTGGATGAACCTGCACACATACCAGAAACGTTTTTGCCCTCGGTGTGCGCCGCTCACCTGAAGGCTGTGAATGCACAGTTGTACTCTTCTTACAAAGATGGCGTCCCATGAGAGAGATCTATAGGCTTGCCCAGTCGGTGAACCTGTGACAGGACTCAATCAGAAAAGAATTAAATAGGCTTGCGTATTAAAAAATTTGAAAATTTAGAGCGAGAGCGAGTGAGACCAGGCCATCTCAGATGCCATTGATTGGATGCTAATGTCATTCTTCTTGTCAGTAAATTTTTGGCCAGCAGTCTTGCTGAATTTACCAAAATCCGTTGCAAAGTGGTGTTACATCTTTCTCATCTTTCTCTTTCGCAAAATCTTTTGACAACAGCTGCTCAATTCCACAGCTCTTAATTCACCACAACACTATTGAACCAATGCTTTGCTTTCTGATAATGATTTAGGCAGGTGGGAATCTTTAAACCTTTTGTAAAAGAATGAGTTTGTTCGAACCCAAAAAGGCAAAGCCGTTTCACATCAAGTAGACCACAAAATATGGAGCTACCATGTACAAGAACTCATACAAGTGGCTATCGCATCACGTTGTAATTTGAAACCAATAAAAACCCCTCCAAAATACCTTTATCTTCATCTATCATCAGGCCTTACTTGAGTACAACCCCCTCATCTCTCCCTAAAACCTCTCCATCAGCAAATGGTATCAGGGCTCTTTCACTGGAGAAATGTCTCTCAAAAATCCCTCTTTCTTGGAGAGGTTTTTTTTTTCTGTCCTTGTGACCACAGAGAGACTTTTTTGGGGGGGGATTGGGAAGGCTGCCTGCATCGTTGGTTATTTGGGCACAGGTTGAGTATTGACCCCACTCCATTCCATCACTTTCATTAGGGCATGTGCAGATTGAAGGGATGGCACTTTGCTGAAATATCCAGGGTACCCCAGACTGGAAATACTGTGGGTGAAAAAACATTGAATTGGGAAGATTGTGAATGGTAGTTTCATTAAAAACATGTACCTACCCGTACTTGAAGCCACGTCAAAAGCAGCTTTGGTAGGGACAAAGATGGGGATGGGCATTTGTGGCAGACAAACATTTTCTTGACTGCCGCTTTTCGTTGTAGTTGCTGACATTTTGAAACCTTTATTTTTCTTATTACATTGATATTTAGAAAGTGATCGATATTAAGAAAGTGATGTTCAGGGCATGTCAATACTTTTCACGGAGGAAAAGCTGCCTGAACAATGTCAACTTTTTCAACTTTAATTTCTCCAAAATCCAAATCATCTTCAATTTTTTCTGTCATGTTTACTGACAATATGTCAAATGATATCAGAGAAGTTACAGTAATTTGATGCTGTTTTGTTAGACATACCAGTTTTATCTTGTCTCTGTTTTCAGCTAACACAAACTCAAGAAGTGCTTTGCTCCATCTAACAGAAGTCTTCAAGTAAGAAAATAAGAGCATTGGACCAACTGTGGGAAGAGGGTTGTAATTGAACTTTCTCCGAGTCAAGCATCGCCTGCACAAATCTTATCACTTGCGATCACAAACACAATGGCGACCAGACTTGGATTTCTGGGACTTTTTATGGTGACTGTGGCAACAGCAATGGACCAAGACACCTGCTCTCACCCAGTCACACGAGTCATCAAACATCAAGGTAAGATTTCTCTGTCCTTCAGAAAGCACTCTTGCACTCTGTACACTGTAGGCCTGTCGTTACAAACAACTTCAAAGTATGATTCTCTGTTCAAAATAAGGGAAGCGAAGAGTTTTGCCAGTTGAATGCAGTTTGTCTGTCTGTGCAGTAGATTGCATTGTGACCATGCTCAGCAAAGTCTGGCAACTTTATCGTCTCTGTATTAATTCGGGCTGTAAGGTGCATTGTCAGAAGCCCCCTTGTCAGTATCTGCATTCTCCTTATAACCTCTTGGTTTGGAATAGAAAATCAGTTCACAGCTCTCCTAGACTTTAACAGGAAAGGGTCATACATCTAACCGGTATGCGGGACCCAGTTTCTCCACATGGAGTCACCGCAAGCTGCTTGTACTTTTTTGATGAGCGGCGAAAGAGTTCTGAGCTGTCCTGACTGGGGACTTTATCAAAACAATACGGCGGCGTACATGTAGATGGGGTATACCCTGCAGGATGCAGGCCCTCGTCTTTTTGATGTCACAAATGTCGAGTGTTGTACCGGGCACTCACTACCCTGTGACGTACACGTACATTGTGTATGCTTGCTTGTGGAAAATAATCTAATATGGCGATGGCGTAAATGCTTTCCAACCTGGGTTGGGCTGTACACACCAAAAGCCAGCACATGGCTTTGCTTTGTAGTGTTTTTTTTTCAGTTTGCCAGTTGGGCATCTTTCTTCCATTTATCTGCTCTTTTCAAGGCTTCTCGATTGAAAGTGCTTGCGTAATTTGGATAGGAAACTCTATCTGGGACAAAGCGTTCAACCTGCCATGATGGACTAAAATTGGACCGGCCGAAATGTGCTGATGGATCAATTGTCCGTACCTTAGGATACTTATTGATCCCTTGTTTAGAGCGCGTTGGATCATAAACTGGAGCGAGGACATTTTCTTGTGAAGGCCCAAACATTGATGAAGGACCACACAGTCAAGGGATGGGCTCCAGCCCTGCTGGGCATATACACTGTTGACTGCGGTGGGTAGTTGGTGTGGGGGAAGGAGTCCAGGTCTTGGGGTGTATCGCTGTGTTCAAAGCTGTATGGCTGACAGATGGCGGTCCTTAGGCACGGCCTTCAGTGACAGATTGGGAAAATCCGACAAAGGGAGAGACACTCCCTAAGTGGGAAGAAATTGCTTGTGGCTGGAGATGAAGGTGTATTTTGTGGTTGGTCCAGATTGGCAAGAGTGGCCCAACTTCCTTGAATCAATAGGGAATGGTTGGGACAAATGTTTCTGCCCAACACGCTTATTTCCAAAGAGTGAAAATTTACTTTTTCTGACTTTTTTCAGTGAAATAGAGTTTTAATGAGACCAGTTTCTTTGTCAAACTCTTTTGCTGTTTGTTAAGGCCATTTTTTCTCCAAATCATTCCATTCTTTTTTTAGCGGATGATCTGGCAAAATTTCTCAGAGGTGTTGATGGTTAAAAACCATGTCAGGGCAGTTAGAATTGCTGCTTGTCATTTTGCCACATGGGCCTAGCAGGGTACTGGTATGAAGGATGGCGAATGGCTTGATTGCCCTCCAGATAGGATCTTTATGTTTGATTAAACAAATAAATGCTATTTGCCCTTAATAGCTTTGTTCAGAAACCCAGTAATGTTCACAGGATGTGGGCATGGCTTTTGCAAAAAAAGGAAAAATGTGGTTACCTTTGATGAATCAAGATCATATGGAGATATACTCACGGGTATTATTCTGTGGGCGAACGTGACTGCAGTGCCAAAAAAAAAAAAGTCTTTTAAACTTGGGGACAAATTTTTCTCAGAAGGTCGTTTGGACTGATGGAAATAGGAGTGGAGACATGACGTAAATGTAGTAAGAAAATCTGTGTGGAGGGTTGGGCCGAGGGTGAGTTTTAGACCCTGTGGTCGGTTTCCTGGAGACAACAGCCTGCTGTTCTGAGGAGTGTGTTAGTTTAAGGAGGTCATCTGGGGACTTAAGTTCTTGAGAGGGAAACCTCAGCCCTAAGGGTGACTGTTTGTTTTGCTGTTTGGAAATTATACTTAATTTTTTCCCAATGTAAAATGTAATATTTAACATCGTCAGAGAACGATAATTTGTAGCAAATTTGGGCTCTACAGCTTCAAAACACAACCACTTCTCACAGTGGTATTATGCATGGGAACCTCACCCTGCTTTCACAGATTTCAACAGATTGCATTGTGGGATGCCTGGTGAGATTGCCCAACGTGAATTCAGGGGGACTCAAGTGTTATGTCCATCGATCAGGGGTGATTCAGATATGTAACAAACAACAGACTTGTTTCTTGGCTCTTTTTTACTTGCTGTGCCACACCATCTGGTAAGAGCCGACTAGAAGTGTTTGTCGCCCCAACCCGTGAACTTAACAATGCGGGCCTGAACATGCGAACACGTACGTGGACTTCATTATCCAGATGTTCTTTGCTGACAGAGGACCTCCACAGGCCACACCCAAGCCCGGCAGGTGTCTTCTGGTTCCATTTTGGGCCGAATACCCTTGACACCTGCAGAGTTTCCTGTGCCTAACTGGCTAATCTGGGGGCAATTTTCTCGCTGGTTTAAACCAAAGCAACTGTTGAAAGCCAATTGTCGACTGAGAACACCACTTGACGGCACACGAGGCACAGGTCTCCCGGGTGAATGTAAGCGGAGCAGTTGTGGAAAGAGGTTGAATTCAAATGGTCCAAATGATTACACCTGACTTGGCATCAAAATGTACGTGGAATTTTGTGCACAGAAATTTCCCTCAAACCACTCCTTTTTTCTTCAAGTTGGAAAATTGTGAGGATTCAGAACCTTTGATAAAGTTTTGAGGAGCTCAGTCTGAGTTGACACAGGGAAGAGACAGGTCAGGGACTTGACATCACTCATCAGCAGGAATGTAAGTCTACTATCTCTGTACACTTGCCCTGTTGGAGATGGTGTTTGTAGCGTCTTACGTAGCAGTAACAGAAAAGGTGGATTTCTCTGTCATTTCAGATTCGTGCCAGGTTTTTGCCGGGCATGGTTTGAAGACTTTTTTTCCCCTGAGTGTTGTGTTTAGTATACAGGGAAAAAAAGGCCATGAAGTAATGATGTGCGTGCACAATATGTCCAAAGACTTAGCACACAAGATTTTCTTGAATGATTTAGCATTTCCAGTTAGTTTTGGAAAAACCAGTCCCATAAGCAAACATCAGTTTCCTGTAATGAGGCCTAATGTATGCAATAAGAGGGCCACAGAACCACACCTGACAAGGCATTTCACAGGATATTTACAGCATGAGCAATCTCTGGACTGGCTTTGGAACTAAAAATAAAGTTCGTGGAGTGGTGTACAGATGTCGTGTGGATAAATCGTCCTTGGCAGTTGAACCTTACAAGTGCCCCTTCATTTTGCCCCAAATTCTTTGGAATGGTCGGCTTTTCCCCTTGGAATACTTTGGGTCAAAAATATCCCCTGACACATTGAAAACACACTGGAATTTCTTTACTTTCACTCCCTTTGGCTTTGCCCGTTCTATCAAATACTACATGTTCTCAAAAGTCAATCAGTCATCTGAACTTGGCCATTTTTTTTTTTTTAATCCTATCTCATCTTTGATCTTTTTTAGCTCTCTCTGGCTTTGCCAACAAATTTTCAGGTCAGAACCGCCCGGGGATACTGCCTTCAAATTGGTAACTCTGTCATAACATCGATTCAGACTGTGAAGGTTTTGAAAACTAAAGGCCTCTTTGTGTGGGGTTACTGGAAAAGCCCAAAAGTCAAATTCCTCTCTAGGCTGGCTGCTTTTCCCCCTTTGTGACTTGGAAATATTTACTCAATTTTTGGGTCAAATAGGAGGTTGTTGAACAAATTTCTTTTGGAGGGGACTAGATTTGGAATCAGAGAGGGGTTCATCGCACCTTTGGAGGCTCTTGGGGGAACTGGGGGTGAGCTGACAACCGGTTTAGGTCGGGGTTTGACTTGGAGTAAAGAGAGAAACCCCTGGTAACATGGTTGCACATTTAAGTTGGGTTTCATTTTGACTGCAGTGCCAAGAAGAAAAACGTGTCCCAGCCCAAACTGGTTAGAAACCAGTCGTGGGCAGGGCACACCTTGTGAGGGTTTGGCTGGTTGCCAGTACTGGCTAAGCAGACATTCTCTGGGGCAGAGCAAGATTGTTTAGGTCATGAGACTTTATCAAACTTGCGTGTGGTCATCCAGAATTTGGCTCAAAACATCAGGTCCGTCCGTCAGGAAATGACACTGTCTTCAGTACTGTACATGCAGGACAGGAATGTTTCAAAATATGAAACATGTAAGGCTATGATTTGGAAAGTCTTTAGGCCTTTCAACATAGGGCTGAATTGCTTTTAAAGCAACAGCATAGCTCATACACTGCTGGTCATAAATTTGAATCATTCTCAGTTTTTCTAAGTTCAATCCCCCAAAAGAGATTTATAAAAGAAATCAACTTGTTTCTGCACAACTCAGTGTCACTGACACCAGAGTTCCGTCTGATCAGCGGAGACTTCAACCTCAAGAGAGATTAATTGTACCTGGGTGGTGTCAAACCTCAGGGTTGTCCCAGGAACTGGGCACAGAGAGAAGAGGACAGATGGGTTTAATGTGAACGTGCAGCTCCTCTGGGAGGCTGAGTGGGCTAAGAAGGAACCCCCAGGGGGTGAGGTCTGGGGCCAGATTTCCCCAAATGGTTTATGATGTTGTCTTGCCCAGGCTAACATTCATGATGTTGTGGTTCCCCCAAAAATGTGGGGGGGGGGATCTTGTCTTTGCTCTAATTTTGAACCAAAGTCTGCTAAACTGCATGACCTTTTAAAATATTGACTGACCCCAATCTTCGTCAGCGGATTACCCCATGCAAAGCAGTCCACAATCGAAAGAGAAACTTAAATTTCTGTGTTTTTTTTTTCAGAATACCACTTAACCGCTTCTTGATCGATGTAATAGGCCTACCTTCCCACTCATTGTGGGTGTTGGGAGGTCTGAAACGAGAGA